TACCCGTTGGCTCGAGCCGGGGGATGGCCAACTAAGCAAGCTTAGTTGGGCACAAAAAGGTGGGACAGCACAAAAGTGTGGGACAACCCCGCTCTGCCGGCTGTCGCGAATTTCATTGATTTTGTATGTGATTTTAACACAAATCTAGACGCCAATTCGTGAAAAGAAGAGAATTTTTGTCTAAGTGCATTATGCCGTCAGATCCTAACCTCAAAGCCGCCCGGGCAGTAGTTCTTTCACGGCAACGACTTCAAAAGGGCTTATCTCGTGATGCTTCTAACGGCCTAAAGAAGCCTCTTACTCTACGCGATGCTGAATGTCAATATCCCGGCTCTAAGAAGTCATCTATTGCGCGTATTGTCAAGCGGCTTGAAGAGGCCAATACTCTTGATTTTGAGCAGGTTCCTGAGCCAAATAAGGGCCGGCCGCGACTCCTCTCAGACGACGAAGAAGAGGCTATTGTGAGCTTTATTATTTGGATGCAGAAGTCCGGTCTTCCGGCCTCCAAACATGAGATTGAAGATGCAGCAAATACAATACGCAGCCGCCGTGATCCTGATGCTGTGCCGGTTGGAAGGATGTGGTACAGGCGATTCTGTGACGATCATCCTGAGCTTGATATCTCGATTTTGAAGGCGAAAGAAGCCACTCGCTTTGAGTATGAAGAAGCCGGCGTGGAGGAGACAAAACAGTGGTTTAAACGGCTCACTGAGGTTATCACGAGATATGGAATCGGCGCCTCAGAGTGTTGGAATGCTGATCAAGCAGGAATTAGAGTCGGAATACTGCGAGAGCGGGTGCAATGCCTCGTCGTACGTACCAAGAAGAAGACTGCAACAGAGGTATTCTCGCCGGAAGATAGGGAGACTTGTACGGTGATCGGTACGGGCAACGCCGCAGGAGCAACTACTCCTCCTTGGCTTATCTTCAAAGCTTTTCCAACGATCGAGTGGTCAGATATCGATGGTGATCCTAATATGCGCTTTGCACAGTCAGAAACGGCTTTTTCTAACGCCGAGATAACGCTTGAGTGGGCGAAGCACTTCAACCGGTGGTCTTGGGAGAAATCTGCTACTGTACAACATCGTCAGCTGGATTTTGAACAGTGGTTTGGGTGTAACGAGCACCTGAAAAGCGAATTCAACCCTATCACTCCATATGACACGCCTCCAGGCACGGAAGGAAAGGAGGAAGAAGAGCTCGTATGGCGGTTGCTCATAATCGACGGCTTTTCCGGCCACGGCTCCTTCGCCTTCAGAGAATATTGTATAAAATTCAATATCCTCGTTGCCTTCCTTCTTCCTCATTCAACGCATATGCTTCAACCGATGGACCTAGGCGTTTTTCAGTGGTTAAAGAATGCACACCAAAAAAGGCTGCGAGAAGCTTTGCGGAAGGGAAATCTGACGTTCAACCGCCGTGACTTTGCAGGCTCCTTCAAGGTATGTGTAATCAGCTTCAATATTCTCTAAAATACCTCTCTTTTTACATACTAATCCTCATGATATCAGGAGATCTTTGATGAAGGCTTTACGGCGGCCCACATCATCGCAGGCTTCGAGAAGTCAGGGATTTTCCCACCTACTGACAAGCCTGCAGTTAATTATCTCCTAAGGAAGAAGCTAAAGACTCGTAAAGCTATCGATCCGGCTTTATCTTCACTTCTCCCGGAGGAAAGTCGCTTTCCTTTGGCCTCTGATACGGCAAGAGATATCGGCAACCGCTATCACGATATTCTGAGCTCCCCAACGCTCAGGGGACTAGAATCGGTCCGGAAGATTGTCAATGAAGCTATCGTGCTTGAAGAGATTGTAAGGAATCACGTTGAAGATCGCCGAGCACGTATTGAGAAGAGATACCACCAAAGAAAGCGTGGAAAACGAGCGAGACCGGTAGGAGATTATATTCATAATGTGAGCTTGCAAGAGCTTCGAGATCAGCATACTGAGTTTGTTAAAGCAGGAGATAAGGCACAGCAGAGATCACAGCTTAGAAATCCTCGATCTTTTGCAATTCGGCAGATGGAGGAGATAAAGGCTGAGTGGCGAGCGAATAAGGAGGTTATTGTTAACGGCGTTACGAAGAAGATGCAGTTTAAACAGTGGCTTGAATACACCGGAAAGGATGTAGAATATGCCTCTTATGACTCCTCAAGAGCTGAGATGACTTCTCAACTTAAAAAAAAGGAGGATTTCTTTATGATCGATACCCAGCTCGCCCCGGAAGCCCGTGAGGCTATTCGCGAAGCCGGCTTTGCAGCAAAGCCCCTCTCGGCAGTAGATTTATCACAACTTCTCTGCAGCGATGATACTGTCGATTTTACCCTCACACAACCGCCGGCCGATGCTGATGAAGAAAGCGATATCGATTTATCTGATGAAGAGGATCTCGCGATGCCCTCATCGCCGCCCTGCCTCCCTGACTATGAGTCCCCTGTTCCAACGATGCCCTCAACACCATGCCCGCTTCAATACCAAGCCCGATTTGACGATGCCTTCATAAATCGCATGATAGAGGAAACGGAAGCCTTGGAGGCCATTTAGGCTCTTTAGGAGGAACAATAACCCCCTCCAAATTGCATGATAATTACATGAGAAGTTGTTCTCAATCAAGGAGCCGTTTGGGCGCCACAGCAGTCATTTCGCCCGGTCACATACAGTCAATAGCAAATATATCATCATAAGAAGCTTCAATTTCATAATTCCAGGAATTTTCACTTTTTCCGACCTATTAAGAGAGTTGAAAAACTGAAACTGCCGCAAAACGCACCAAAAATCAGACCCTTACAGTTGTCCCACACTTTTGTGCTGTCCCACCTTTTTGTGCCCAACTAAGCTTGCTTAGTTGGCCATCCCCCGGCTCGAGCCAACGGGTAATAGTTAATAAGAAAATAGACCCTAGCCGTGATGACCCTAACCCTAACCCAGAACGTCAACGGCTAGACGTGAACAAGATGCAAGACGGCTACTTATATTGATCAGCAAAAGGGCATGGTATAGGGTGAAACCTCTCGAATAGAGTCACGTGTATCAAGATGATCTAAGACCTAAGCCTTAGAAGTTACGCGTCACATGCTGGCGTTCAGCATGGCTGAGTCGACCCTGCCAACCTCCCACTACGTCAATAGATGTAACTGCGCCGCCTGTTCTGAGTCCCACTGCCAGCCTCTTAGTGGCTACGAAGGTTTGCAACGATTAAATACCGCTCAGAACTACAGCAGTAAACACATCTACTAAGATCCACTTGGGGTTGAGCCTCATGAAAGTGGCGCCGGGTGTACGTGGGCGTCGGGTGAAACCATCGTGGGAGGGCTCCGGGCTCCGGTTACTGAGCCGAGTAGAAACACGTAGAAACCGAGCAGTTCCTGAGCACAGCTCACAATGGGCTCATATTTTCCGCTTATTTTGACTTTCTCGTGACCGTCATAACCGTTGAAAGGGTGGCTGGGAAAGTCTGTCTGGGTTAAGGTTCAGGCCAAGTATTAGAGTCAAGGAACCACGTTCTTTCCCTAAGGTTCACTGTCAGACCATCCCTGTTGGAAGCGGTGAAACTACTGCGGGCTTGTCGCCTTGGAAGATGCCGAAATTGCGAAGTCCTGTCAGATCGCTTTGGCACTATTGAGATTCAGTGCACGGGATGATGTAAGTCATCCTGAGATAGGGTATAGGGGCCTCACGGTCTGTGTTCGCCAGAGAAACGCATGAGAACGGCTCGGCAGTATCAAATAAAAGGTCTCCCAGACTCTCAAATTAGAGGCTGGACCCAGTCTATATGCAACAACAGCCCTGGCCCCAACTGCCTGACTGGGTCGCAAATACAGTTGACATCCATGACTTCATGGCACGGACAGGGGATGCCTGGACGGGACATGCGGAACTAAGTGGAGGACGGGAAGAGGAGGGGGTTCCGACAGGCAAGTATCGAGGTTTCGAGAGGCGACACGCGGCTGTTGGCACGCAGGGTCTTGAGATGTTGATCCTGATCTCGGAATACTTGGAAAAGCAGGGAAGGGGGCATTGCCGCGCAATCATTCTAGAGAATTCAAGATCCAGGAACGCCGAAAGCTATTCTAGGGAAGAGGAAGAAAAACTTTGCAAAGCCGTTACTTTTTTAGGGACTTTTACTTAGCGCTATTATGAAACTTTATATAATTAAAGTTATATTTATACTAAGAAACATGTCATTTCACGGCTATACGGCTTAATGATCCATGCCTATTATAAAGGTCCCCACATAAGTGCTTATTAGGCAGGATACTAGCTAATATAGGCTAACTAGTAAAGTTTATAACTGAGCTCTCAATAGCGATAATTAAAGTTCATATCTACTAAAGAGGTATAAAGATAGTATTGACCCATCGATCAAGCGACTATCAAATCACCCAAGTCTCTATCAAACCACCCGAGTCTATAACAGCTCAAGAACACATCGTTGCAAAACTTCAGCCCAATCTTCACGATGAAGGTCGCTCTCGTTATATCAATCTTTATTGCTAGCTGCATTGCTAGTCCCCTGGACCCAGCTAAAACACCTACGTCACCACCTGGGGCCGAGCACACCCTTAACTACGTCGACATCACTCCCACGGGGCCTGAATTCGGCAACGTCAATGGTTCATCAGCCTTGATCTCTCGAGACACGCTTCCCCATACCGCCTGTCCAGCCGGCCAGACATATGACCGCTCCGTTTGCTACAATTCCCACACAATTCGTAGCTTTTGCGTTGCGAACCCCCGGAGTAACCGGGAACAGATTACCGACACTCCTTGCAACTCAGGCGAGGTATGCGTACAGCGCCGGCTTAGCTCCGGAAAAAGCTATGCCAAATGCCTTCCTGTCCGCGACCTTGTCTCGTGGAGAACTGACCCGGATGGTGATAAAGAAGGCTGCACTACAGTCGAAGCCAATCCTATAGGCTATCATAGTTTAGCTACTATGATATATGATATCAACAACAACCCTATTCAAGTTGATAAGATCAGGTACCTTGGAGAGCCTGGCGATGCCAATGAAGGTATTGGAGGATCAGTGTCAAACTTTAGTAGTGACCGATTCAGGTTCACGGGATCTAACTATATGAAAGGTAAGGATATTGAATTCATTTATTACTAAAGCTAATGAGGGTTTAGTGTGTGTTTTCAGTGGTGGCTACGGAAACCTTAACGCTTATACCTGGGTTTGGAATTAGTTCCAAGCTTAGTAGGGATGGTGCATGAACCGGGCTTCATTAATCCTAGCTCATAGTAGTTATAGGGGGTTTTCTTCCCCTGAGGGTTTCCCCGCCTATAGGCTAGAGATAGAGGTGTTGAGCCTTTTGAACGTGCGAATAGACCGATTTAGAATTGTGTGTTCATTCCTTTTTTTTTTTTTTTTTTTTTTGTGTGTTTGTTTGTGTGTGTTTGTTTGTGTGTTCTGTGTGTCTTCCTAACTCTCCTTGTTTAAATAAGGGGTTTTCCCGTGATCTCCTGGTCAAATAGTTCTTCCAAGTAGCGTTCTACTTAAATAAGGCTCAGATTATATAATCTAACCTTAACTATATAGAATCTAGTGCTATCTAGTTTAATACACCCTCCTAGACTTGCCTAAAAGGCTAGTTTATTTTCTACTCTACTGCTTATTATTATCACTCTCTAGATTTATTTCTAGGATATTAGACTTAAGCCTTATTACAACAATTTAACAGGCGTTGCGGGCTTTTAACTTATTAGCTAGCAGTTACGTGTTTTAATCAGCTCGGACAGTCAGCCGCTTAAAATCCACTGGGTAGATACTCCAGATAGTTCAGGTAAGTCAGTGGCTTCATATGTCTTGCTATTTACAATAGGTTATCTAATTAAATTCAAACTTAGGCTCCAATCTCGTTAAAAGATCTCGTCTGACCGAGTCTGTTTGTGTACATGCTGGCGCTGCTACTGGCGCAAATCTCCACTGGCTTAGTGCAATATGCACTGGTAAATCGACATATACTGTTAACTGCGTGCCTGCGGGTAATAAAAATGCTGGATCGACACACACCGGAACATGTCCCGCAGGTCAGGATTGCTTCCAGTTGGAGCAAGTTGGCAACTTTTGGGGTGATAGGGAACCTGACGTTACTTGCTCTTCGTCTAACACTGTTTTTGATGCGACAGATGACAAGGAGGCAACGCATGTAAATGGAAAAGTTGTCACGCGTGCAGGAAAGCCAGAAATAGGACCAAGGCTCATTCGACTCAAGGCCCAAGTCTATGACAGAGACAGGCATTATGGACAAACTTCAAGAATGGGCTTTTTCCGTAATGGTGTGGAGGTATACGGCATTAATGATGTGGCAAGCATGGGACCGACATGGAACTTTGACCCTTCCAGCGACCGGAGCTTTAGCTTCTTCTTCACTCCGGGGCCTAATGCATTTCGCATTCAAGGTACAGTTAACTTAGCTTAGTTCTGTTAAGCTTTATTTCCTGAGGGTGAGCTTAGGTTAGGATATAAAACTCGGCAAAGTCGAAGTCCTAAGAGGATGAGAATGGTTTAGGGTTTTTCAATCAGCTTGGTTTTCCCTATTTTCCAATTATTTATATCCTAAGACTTTCCCCTGGCAAGCAATGAAATGTGATAACATCCGTCACCCGTGGAGTTTTCTGCCTCATGAGCCTTTCTACTTTAGCCTCGAGAGTCGTCTCCAGGGTTCAAATCCACACCACGAAATCCACATATGGATCCATAATGTGGATCCATATCCATTCCATTCCATTCCACGTAGGCTTCAGCATTTCCATATCCACACCACGGAACCCCTTCCACATGTGGAACATGTGGAAATTGTGGAAAGGAATGGAAATTTAGGTGGGGTTTGAAAATACCTGGATTTCCTTGTGAAATAGCGCATACCCTAAGTACTTTCCATCGCCAATAACAACGCAATAGCAACAATTTTCCACTCCGTTTTACCCGTACACAAAGTTCAAACAAGTCTATTCTAGGAGGATTTACTATTACTCACGCCCTTACTACCCCAAACGAAATGGCCACCCTTTATCCTACCAAGTCAACCACACCCGTTCCAGAACGTACAGAAGAAGACAATCAACGACTCTTTCAGCTCTACAAAGGCTGGACCTTGACGGAGAGAGACGGCCAAGTGCGTCAATGGGTATATCAGTTCGGCTACGATATCCAGCATGCCCAAAAGGGGGAACGCCGATGGGTGTGTTGCCTTTGCATCAAGCAAAAGCGGCCGAGGCCAAAGAGTTACGCCATCAAAGGGTTGCAGAACGCTGAGGGTCACCTGTACACGGACCACAATGGCATCATGGATCCGACAGGCAAGAGGCAAAAGCCTGCAAAGGCATCCGAGAAAGCACATCAGCCCATTGCAACAATCCTACAGTTGAACCCGAAGGAGCCGAAGGAACAAGATTTGATCAATACCTTGATCAAACGTCTCGACAAAACTGTATTCCAGCAGAAACTTGTCAACTGGATTATCAATTCTAACCAATCCTTCTCGATCGTCAACGGTCAAGATCTTCGAGATATCTTCAACTACCTCAATCCATCTGTTGAGATCACAAAAGCTAACATTACTGACGTGACCGTGCGTGCCATCGCAGAACGAGAATTTACCGACAACATGGAAAGAGTGAAGGATGCTTTGCGAAAGAGTCCGGGGCAGATCCATATCCAGTACGATGGCTGGAAGTCTGGTAACCGACACGCCTTATACGGCATCACATGGGTGTTTCGGGATTCAAACAATCGGCCACAGAAATGTGTCCTCGGACTGCCTGAGCTTACAGAGCGGCACACAGGCGAGAATATCGCCGGGCAGATTATCGAGATCATTCAGGAGTACGAGATCAGCGATAAACTCGGATATTTCACATTGGATAATGCCGGTAACAATAAAACCTCGATGGGGGAGCTTGGATTAGAATTTGGCTTTGACTGGGAGAAGCGATGGGTTCGCTGCGTTGGCCACGTTGTCAACATAATTAGTAGTGAAACAGATGCTGTATGGCAAGAACCCGGATGCTTTCGAGAAAGAGGTCTTCGAAGGACTTCACACGGCAGCGAAGGAGCATGAAGTCTGGAGGAGGCGAGGCTCTGTTGGAAAATGGCATAACTTTGCTGTTGTAGGTGGCTGAGTCCCCGGCTTTATTTGTTATACTCACGAAGACCTAGGAGGTGAGCAGATCGGACACGTGGACCGATATGCTCAAGAAGGTACAGGCTGTCGAGAGCCAACTCTCTGATGACGCTCAGCTCAAGAAACACCGTCCAGTTGGAGTTGTGGTCGACAATGCTACCCGGTGGCTTTCTCAATTCTCGATGACTGAACGCGCTCTCCTCTTGAGGCCATTTTATAATTCTTTTGTCCAGAGAGCGTCAAACGAGTGGGAGAAGGTCAACTTGACGAGAGCTAGCCACATCAAAAAGGGCTCCAAGCTGCCCTTCTTCCTGAAGAAAGAGAATCGCATGACACCTGATGATTGGCATGTGCTCGGGACTCTTTATGACATTTTGCTTGACTTCCAGCTGGTTGTGAGAGGCCTTGAGGGCGATGGACAGGGAAAACACCGGAGAAAGGTCGAGGAAAACGAGATCGACCCTCCACTGTCTGGTAAGCCTTAGACTTCTCAAAAGCGGCCCGATTCTTATTTTAACAGATGACTTGTGCAGGAACAAGCTGGGATCTTATTCACGCGTACGAATTTCTTCTCGAAACCCTCGATCCGCGAAAAGAGCAGTCGCCAATTTTCCGGACGGCCATCACCTCGCTGTCAATATCAACCTGGGCTGGCTCAAATTGAACGAATACTACGAGCATCTGAACGATAGCCCCCTGATCTATGGCGCCGCAGTTCTTCATCCTGCCTACCGGTGGGCACTGTTTGACGATTTGTGGGGAGACGACGACGAAAGACAGTTATGGATTACCAAAGCGAAGGAGATGGTCCAGGATCTCTGGGAGAGAGAGTATAGGGACCTGGAGGTTGATGACCCAGAGATTGAGTTGCCTGCGAATAAGCGGCTGAAGACCTCAAGGAACAAGTTCACAGCGTGGTGCACAAAGAAGCGAGGACTGACGGCTGGAGGGATTTCTGTTACCGAGTCGCCAATTCAATCCCCAGCTCAATCCCCTAGGTCCTCAGTTGGCGGTCTGGATCTTGATGAATACGAGCAGTGGCAGCGTGATATCGAGGATGCTAATGCTTCTGTCACAGATCCCTACGAATACTGGCACATAAGGCGGCTCAAATCCCCCCGGTTGTCTAGGATGGCCTTGGATCTGCTTACTGTGCCACCAATGTCAGCCGAGTGTGAGAGGCTATTCTCGACCACTGGCCGCATGGTTACCAAGAGCCGCAATAGGCTAGATGCCAGTACAATTGGGCTTTGTCAGACACTACGGAGTTGGATGCGTGCCGGTTTGATCGGGTCGCTAGATAGGATTCTGATGGACGAGTGACAAAAACATGGACGTCACCAAGGCATGAATGCGACCCACTAATTACCATTGTTAGACAAAGTAGGTTTCCATTCCACAAATTCCACAATATGGATCCATTTCCACCCATTCCACATCGGGGCCCCATAGGGACACGGGTACCCGTGGGCATTATGTAAGCGTCGATGGCTAACACTACGACAACTACAACGAGAAATGGCTATGGGTTTGTGCAGACCGGATTGATGCGGAGGGATAGCGGCCAGATTGGTATATGAAATGGCCTTATGAGGCCGTTCTCCCGGGTGTAACAAATTCTACTACCACTACGGCTATAGAGCTGAATACAATGCCTGCTGCTCCTTACTATCTTCCTCACATGCTCTCCATATCTCCCCTGGCCCTCGTCTGCTCGAGAAAGGTGCGACTACTATCTCATCGGCTACTTTGACATCGAGACGATCGTTCTCTGACTTGTCCCAGTCAAGATAGGCCATCATCTCTTCTTTGGTCCATTCCCTAGAGCCTGTTGGCGTCTCACAGCACCTAGTCATTTGCTTCCAGTCGAGGCACCAGTCGTAATCGGCTTTACTATATTGTAAAGGTAGACCCATCGCCTTACGATACCACTGGTCGGTCTTGGTGCTGCCAGGCGGCTGCGCCTTGTACCAATCTTCTCTTGCTGCAGTATATCTCTGGTAGATAGCTCGTGGGTCATCATACCGCAGTACCGGTGTTACCGCTACCGCTTCCACCGATGATTCTATCGCTGCCAGGCCTTTAGTTGTCGCTGGCAACAACGCGATTGTGGAAGTTTCGGCTACTATTGGCGGATTAGACATGGCTGTCAACGTTGGTGTTGCTACCGGCACATCTGTTGCTGCTCGCTGTGAAATCTCTGTGTGCCGCAAAGGGCATGACTTTGAATTCATTCTATGACCTGTTGCGTGGCATTTGCTGCATGTTGGCTGCGCTCTGGGTTGTATAGCTGCCTCAACTACCTCGAACGCACTAGGCTCCCGCCGAATGCTCGACTGTGGCTTGGCTGAATTATTGGCTACTCGATCAATGTGCTGACGAGGCTCAAGCAGCAGCTGAGGACTCCCGGGGCGACTAAGATGCCAGTGTCTATGGAAGTGCTCCAGACGAAGAGGCTGATCTTGCTCTTGTAGGGTCTTGAGCATATGGACACAAGGGAGACCGTGAGATCTAGAGAATGCGCCGGTACAAGCAGGTAGGTCTTCTTTCAAGAGCAGTTTCCGCTGCTCTTCGACCTTGCGTAAAGCCTCGTGAGATACCCAGCCATGTACAGCACTATAGAGAACTCCAGAGAGCTCAATCGGCACACGTGATTGCTGTTTGGCTTGGTTGTATCGTAGCTCAGCTAGTTGATTGAGCAATGCATGTTTCACGGCCCTCCAAGCCTCGAAAAGGTCTAGTGTAGATTTCTTCAGGTGGCTCTTCAGGAGAGCGTGGATATCTTCGACCCGCGAGGTTACTACGTTGCCAAAATGAGGGTATTGGTCCACCCAAGCCTTAACGAGCTTTTCCTTGTAGAGATCAAGCCAGTTGGCCTTGATATACCCAACTTCTTCCAAATATTGCGGCAGGTAGCGCTCTTCCAACCCCTTGACGCGCTGATCGAAGGTCTCCTCGTCTGCTGATCTTACAATCGAATGCCAGCAATTGAAAAACTCGTTCCAATCGCTGAGACTCTCGTGGCGAGCCTCCAGCCCCTGGTCATGGCGTGTAAAGGTCGGCTGGCAGTAGCGGAGGACTGCCTTATTAGCATGCCAGAGGCATAAAAGCGAAATTGCAGTAGGAAAGCAGCGAGCGACAGCATTCATACAAGCGAGGCACCGATCCGTGAGGATGACAGACGGGAGGGCTGCTCCGCAAAGCTCGTACATTGATCGAAGTCGGTCCAAAGCCCAGGTATAGTCCTCCTCGCTCTCGCCACTCAAGAATGCAAAGGCGATACAGAAAGATCGCTGGCAGGCATCCACCCCAATGATATCGAGGAGCGGCATTCCATATTTATTCGTCTTGTACGTGCAATCCAAGAAGAGCAGGTCTGGATAAGCCTTCAGGTACGCCAATGACTCCGGGTGGGCGAATAATACTGCTGTAACTCGGTCATGTGAATCGAGCTGCATCCGGTTCCAGAACCCTTCCTTATCCAACTGGTTGGCAAAGGCGTGTATAGTGCTTTGACCCTCACATAGCTCGCGTTTGCTGTCTGCAATGCGGTTATAGATGTCTTGCTGGGTTGCAATGGTGTTTGATTTCTGGCGGATATAAGTTCTAATATCCTTTGGCGCTACGCCGGCATTTGTGAGACCACTGATCGTCGTTTTATCATTGTCGGACAATGTGCGATGTGTTGGATGAGCAGACTGGTGCCAGGTTGGCTCATGATTATGAATGGCGAATCGGCTATCTGGACGGTGCCTTAAAGTCCATGTGGTCTTGTCAAGGCTCTGCTTTGCAAGCACAGAAAACTGGCAGCTTGTGCCTCGGGTGCTTGTCTTCCGTCTTCGTTCTATTGATGCATCTGGAGGGCGACAGGCTCGATCGCAAGTGAACGTAACCGTAAGCCTCCCGGTCTTCTCTTTGTGGGACCTTCCAGTAACAAAGGCATAGCCCCGTGGTGCTGCCCAGCTATTAATCGCCTTGAATACGGCATCTCGGGATGTGTACTCGCATTCAGGAGGGAGACAGTCATCTGGAAAACGAGCAGCCGTTCCGCTCGACCCCATTTTCCACCATGCTGTGGACGAATACCTGAAAGTAGCGTAAAGACTCTAGAGAAATTCGAAGCAGACACGCGACTTGTTCGCGTTAACCGTCGACGCTTACATAATGCCCACGGGTACCCGTGAAATTTTTGGAGCCACGGGTACCCGTGTCCCTATGGGGCCCCAATTTTGGGTCATTTTGAAGGGCCTGAAGGGCAAGGAGGGTTCTGGCTTCATTTGAAGATTGTGACATTGTTAATGGTTGACAAATATCTAATCAGATACAATCTATGATGTAAGAGGGAAAAGTGCGTCGCATGCTTATCTGCGTCGCATGCTTATCAACCACGTTATGCTATAGCCATGGAGTTATTTCATTCTGCTCAATATCATGACCATTAGCCTGGTGGTTACAGAGCTTTAGAGGCTATATGTTTAAAGATAGGTAGGGCAGTCGATACTTCGTCATAAAAGTGGACAACTGATAAGATCAAGAGTCAATTGAGGAGGGGGAAATCTTTGTTCTACATACTGGCGTCGGTAGAGCCCTGCTAAATTACTACAACGCGGTCACGAAACACGCGCGGTCAAGATATTAATTTACACGTAGGCGCTCAGGAGGTAATATCGCTTGGCGCCGCCAAAGTAAAGCTATCTGCGAAGGTTGCGACGAATAAACGAACCAGCCAATGAGAAGGTTTATCAGGCACTTTTAATCAAAAAACCGGCGGGGGATTGAAAACATTGTCCCTCTTTCAGTGAAAGAGGAACTAGCAGGGGTAGAAGCCAATGAGAGATGTAGAATTTCCTCTTTCAGTGAAATTGGGACGAACAATAAGGATGTAGTGCCGAAGTGAGATAGTCAGCTGTTAGCACGAAGAGCTCCAAACCAAGAACAAGGCATCCTAAAAGCGTCGCACCCGTAAGAAGAGATGATTCAGTGACTGAGGATACTTTCAACTTGGCTTTATCAAGTTTTACAGAGTCAATAGAGCTAAATGTGCTTTTTTTGGCATTGAAACTTCTGTGCTCCCTAACGGCACAGACTCAACTTTCACTGAAACCCGAGCCCGATTTCCATGATATATCACCAAGGACCCAAGCCTGGGGGGAGCCCGATTCGTATGTCCTATAGTGACGTGGTGGTGAGCATTAACATCCGATAAGAAATTCTGCCGGCTTATCGTCTCCACCGCCTGCTGAAGTGCGTAAGCTCAACGCCAGCGGGCGCGGTTCATCATTGATCCGAGACTTTTCCGAAGTCGCCCCGCCTTTTTGCGATCACAACATGAATTGAAACAAAGAAAACCCAACATCATCACCCAAAGTGCTTAACACGATGGTGCCGCCCGCTCTTCCACTTCATCGTCATCAATCGTCTCTGGAGGGTATCATAGACTTCTCATCGCGAGAACCCTTGTCTGAGTCTCATCGCGCCTCCGCTATTCGTCGGTTTTATCAAGTCATCAAGCATTTTGATGATAATGACATTAAACGAGGTCAAGACCAATACGATAGAGTGAAGCTTGTTCGCTTCACTTACGAATATTCCACCAATCAAGTGTCCAAAGATAATGTTTTGATCGCTGTTTTTGAGTTTTTGAAACTATCAATTTCATCTGAAGAGGATATCGACTTTGAAGATGCCACGTACCAAGGCCAATTGAAGACTCACTTGTATGAATTCGCTGACTACCTGATCGACAACTTCTTTCTCCCGCGTATGGTTCCACTTTAAACCGACGTCCTGGCCTATCACTAACACCCCAGCAGTCAAAGCATCAACCAAAAAGACACCTCAACCAACACCAGCATCTCACTCAGCTGTCATGAAAACCCAACGCCAGGACCATGTCTTTTCTGGGACGCCAGAGCGTCTAGCCAGTCTGAGAGGTGCCTGCCTCATACGAGACCGGTATCGCTGTGTTATTTCACGAAAGTTCGACAGAGCTGAAGCTCTGAAGCGCTTACAGCAACATGGCGGAAGTAAGGCTGTTGACCAAGACGGCGTTCCTTTGGCTGATGCTGGGCAAAGGTTCGACTATCTGGAGGTCGCACACATTCTTCCGCACTCTCTCACTCAGCTCAACTCTTCTAAAGAGCTGGTGAGAATTCTGAACCCCACAATCTTGCTCCCGCTGACTCTGCGATAGAACTCTTCAAAAGTAGCGGCACTGGCGATACTTAATATGTTTGACAGTGGTGTTGCCCACTTGATCGAGGGAATCGACATTGATCGTCCGTCTAATGCTCTAACGCTGACTCTAAGTCATCACGTGTCTTTTGGTGACTTTCGTGTCTATTTTGAGCCTGTCGGAGATACACCGCATACATATCGTATAGGCACATTTCTACCGCCTGGTCTTGCAGAAGATGTCCCCGTTACTCGAACCCTTTTCCTTACTGAGGACAAGAGCATTGATCCACCGTCGTCTCGATTCCTTGCCGTTCATCGTGCTATCGCGCATATCCTGCACCTTTCTGCCGCGGGCGACTACATTGATGACATACTGAGCGATGTTGAGGAATTTGGCATTCGTTCAGATGGGTCTACTGATCTGTCTCGACTACTGAAATTGAGACTTGATGATTGGACAGTTGGAGAGGTCCACGGATGAATGTGTGTGCCTAAGGCGTTTTAATGTTCAATGATGATTTTCGATTAAATGGGGGCGTTATATAGATACCTGGATGTTAGCAATGAGTTAGACCTGGATGTACGGTTTTCTAGAAGCACGAATATGTGTATGACTACTAATACATAGTTGCTATCTGAGTAATAGATGTGATCCCGTTCTTCCTGGCTTCCTGGGAAGCATGTAAACCAAGCTGCGAGGTGAATTTGAGGAGCTCGGCACCTCGGATACCACAGTGATGGGCTAGAGTAGAACAACTGCCGTTGGAGTCCACTCGGATATGCTCACTATTAGCAGACTTTCGAAGCAACCTAGCCTCGAAAAGTATTGTGAGAGTTATTATAAGCTTCTGTGGCCTTTCTCGACTTGCCTTATATATTAATAAGTGCATATTATATTTATAGTAACTGTTGAAATGAATGCGACTATAGAATTGATACATATTAGCTCTACTTATACATCTAGGCCTAACTACCCTAAGATTTTAGCTCCTAATGGTATAATTGATATGTTTTATTTGTGTTTCCTATAATTCGCCCGTAGGGGCAAACTTCATGCATGAAGGTATGCTTCCACACCCAGTTCGTGCACTTATTGGGTTCCTCTAAACACTTCGCGGCGCAGTCGCAAGCGGTCCTGAAGCCATCCTTGAAGAAAAAGCGTCGTTTCTCTGTGACGACGCCTGTCATGTCGGCGATCCAGTGTTGCCATCATCGACGCCAACCTTCGTTCATCTCGCGATAGGCTGTAAATTACTTCTCCTCCTGAACTACCTCGAGGCATAGGTCGGTCAGTCCTGCTATTAGGTAACTCTGTAAGAGCAACAAGGATGTCACGACATATATTTTCGAATGTCGTTTCCCAGCCTGTACATCATATCCAGTTCGTCTGTAAGGCGATGCTGGTGCTGCACTGTCACATGATCTCGTATGGCCTTCCCGTATATCCCCTAACCTTGCACGCTCATCAGCAAAGAGCTTCTGAGCAAGGTGTCTGACAGCGTCGGGACTAGCTTGCAGGAGAGTACTGCAAGATAAAGAGCCACGATTGGGATTATTATCGGTGATGACGATCCATGATCTTCGGATGTCGTTCGCCGACCAACTCTGAAAAGATAAGCCCTGCTGGATATGATCATGGAGCCAGTTTCGGGTCTGCTGTCGAGCTGCGCGCTTAATCTCTTTGCTGTGATTAGTTTTCAGGTGGGCAAGTAAGACCTTTTCGCTGATAGAGCGAAGACCACAATTTTTACAGGCCGAGCCCTTATATACTATAAGATTTGGGTGAGGCGGCGTGCCGTTTGGTCGCAGTGGAAGTGTCTCTAGGTTTGGAAGATTAAGAGAATAGATTAGTGGCTTTAAACTACGGCAGGCAGACTTAGGTATATAATGCTTGTTGCCCGGATAACGCGGCGCGTGTATAGGGTTAATAGCGAAGCCGCATTTGATATAAATTATTGCTGGCTCTGGCGAATTGTAGTACAAGCCGAGACTCGAGCTTTTGGAGCTGACTTGGCCGCAATGTGACAATAGCATCCGTGTATATCGCGCGGCCTGTCATATTGATAAAGTTGAGAAGGCAGCAAGAGCATCGGATACCCTCTAGGAAGCCACATTTAGCCAAGAATAAAGAGAGAGCTTGATTGCTGCTTCCTTCGTCCTAATCGACGCAACCGAAATCACTACATGCTGTAAGAGCGCGGTCGTCTACATGGTTAGCACGGGCCTTCGTGGAAGAAACGCGGCGCATTTCGCGTTCTCGGTTTACAGGCCCAAATGGAAATGCGGCGCATTTCCAGAGGGGAAATTCGGGGTAAAGAAAATGGAGATTCTGATTGGTGCAGAAGTGGAAATGCGGCGCATTTCTGCTCTACATGCTTGATTAGGGTGACGATACTGACGGTCCGATAGCGGAGCAAACTATACCACATATGGAAATTGGGACGGGACCCGTCCAATTTTAGAAGGACGGGTACCCGTCCGCCTGTTGACCGCCTGGAAGGACGTCAAGCGTGCACGGGCCAGATTCTGCGTAATTCGACAAATTACATCGAGCCCTTGCTACAGTTGTAGTAGCCTCGTCCACCATTGTGGCCAAATCTAATTTGAGCACATTTTTAATCGTTTAACGTCGGATACGGGGAAACCGGCCACCCCCAGAAACCGGCCACCCGCTTTTTGACCCAACCTCCCAATTAATGATATCTTAAAAAATTCACAACTCCACCAATTTTAATCGTATGAACTTGTAAAGTATACCAATCAATTCAGAATGACGAAATTCACTGAAGAAGATATGAGCGCTGCTCTTCAGATGGTTTCAGAAGGAGTTTCCATAAACAAAGCTGCAACGGCTTGTGGCATCAACCGTTCAACGCTCCAAGATAGAATTAAAGGTGCCACAACACCAAGACAAGCTCATGAACCTGAACAAAAGCTCTCAGCTATTCAGGAAAGAAGATTACGAGACTGGATTATGGTCCAAGCTGACCTAGGGTGCCCTGTTTCGCACCAACAGGTCCGACACTTTGCAAACCAGATCGCAATACGCAACGGCTTCCCAGAAGGCGTCGGAAAACGCTGGTTACAGTCTTTTATGGACAGGAACAAAGAAGTGAAGACTTTACCGGGCAAGAGTATGGATTCTGACCGTTATAACGGAGCTTCTACTGAACTTATCAAGGCCTTCTTCATGTTATTGTCGATGCCGGCAGTTCGAATAGTCAAGCAGAAGAACAGATACAACGTCGACGAAGTTGGAATGATGGAAGGGATAGGACTGAACGGTTTATTCCTTGGTTGCAAGGACAAGAAGTCAGTACTTATTCGTCAGCCTGGTTCAAGGTCTTGGATCACAATTCTCGAGTGTATCTCGGCAACGGGGAAAGTCCTGAGACCTTTGGTGATCTTCAAAGGGAAAACGGTCCAACAACAACATTTTCCTGAGAAATTGGACTTCCTGGAAGACTGGGAATTCACCTGCAGTGAGAAGGGCTGGACAAATAATCATATTGCGTTGATTTGGCTGAAAACGGTGTTTATTCCGTCGACAAAGCCCGAGAATCCAAAAGAACCGCGTCTTCTAATTCTCGACGGTCACGGAAGTCATATGACTGAAGACTTCTTGTTTGAGTGTTATAATAATAACATATTCGTGCTTTTCCTTCCAGCACATGCTTCTCATGTCCTACAGCCGCTGGATGTTGCAGTCTTTGGACCGTTGAAGAGGGCATATCGAAAATTCCTCTCAGATCTTGCTTCTGTCGCAGATTCCAGTCATATCGGCAAGATCACCTTCCTATACACTTACGACAAAGCTCGGAAAGAAGCTATCACGAAGTTGAACGCCCTAGCCGGCTGGAAAGCAACCGGACTGTGGCCAGTTAATCTGGCGAAGGTCCTGATAAACCCGATGGTCACTCAGCCTCCTAAGACACCAGCTCCCGTTGTTACAGCTATTTCCCCGGCCAAAGGAAAGAATTCCCGTCTTCTTATGACGCCCCGATCATCTGTACAGCTTCGTCGGGCCCTACAAGCTGTCCCGGGCGTTATCTCTGAAGACCCTGCTGTTAGGCTGCTTTTCCGTAAGATTGGCAGTCAATTAGACAGTCATAACTTTGAGATTGAACGCCAAAGAAGAGAAATCACGATAATGCAATTAGAAAAGGAGGAATATCTGCCGAAAAAGAGGAAGAAAGTCATATATAATGGAAATGCCGAGTTCGCAAAGGTTCCAGCAATTTTAAAAGCTCGTGAACAGATGCGAAAAGTATTACAGCCACAAAGAACATCATATCGCATTAAAAAATTAAAACTCGAGGATCTTTGTACTCAGTTCCATCTGAATATTCACTGATAGATATTTTATTTAATATAAAAAATGTGGTGGTGTGTTTTTAATTGAGTTACAATTGCGATCTCATTTTTGGTGTTTTGCTGAGGGTGGCCGGTTTCTGGGGGTGGCCGGTTTCCCCGTATCCGACGTTATTATGCCTTCTAAGCTTTCATCAGCGCGCAAACGCAGTAGACCGTCTCTCAACCGCCGCAAAGAGGTTGAGATTCAAGACGACGAGCCATCCGATGATTCAATCCGCGTAAATCAAATTCAGCGCCCGCTCAAGTGAATGGACAATATGAAGCCCGTCTTTCAACATCAAAATCCAACTCCAAGGCAGCAGAACCAAACACTTGCCTTCGGCGGAGCCATCACCTGCCTTCCCGATTAGTTCACGATGCACCTCAGAGCACCATTCGCCACTCTGGGGAATCAGAGGAGCATACGACAGCGTCTTTTGCCGAATCCCGCATGGCTCCTTCAGTGAAGCGGCAAAGGACTGATGACGTCCAGTCCCGACTATCTCAAACGTCTGGATTATTAGATTGGAACGCACTTCTAGTAAGAAGGATCTCCCAACCAAGTTTATTCTGCCATAACCTAACTACTCTACAGCCCTCTGGAAATGAGTTCAAAGAAAGCTTGAATGCTGCCTCGACTGCCTTGGCGCCATCGATCAAGAGCTTCGAGCAGCTTTTAACATCTATCAACGATGAACACAGCAGACTTACCGCCGTTAAGGGCAGTCTCTCTTCCCAAAGGGACGAGCTAGCCAAGGACCAGAGAAAGGCTGAGGACGCTCTCCAGGATGTTGAGACATCAACAGCCACCGAGAATCAAATGCTCAGAGACCTCGAAGATGTCTACAACAAATATCCAGGAGACAAGGAGCTTCTCATATTCCTTGAAAAGCGAAAGAAAACGAGCGATGACCATCAAGAGGTATATACCATCGTCAAAAGCCAACTCGATAAGAGCTCAGACAGACTTTCCAAAACCGAAAACAAGCTTGCGCTGGTCACCGGGAGGCTGAGTCAGCTCGAGGCTGAAAGGGCTGAGGTCATGAAGGAGAAGGAGGGAGTTGATAAGGCGGCAAAACAATTGGTGGTTATGTCTCGGTTCTTGGAACCTGGTTGGCAAGCTACTCTGGACATGCTTGAGCAGGTTTCGGGGATGACGCTCTGCGAACTGCCCTATTTGTGGGGTTTTCATTGTTATGAGTGATGCTTGAAGTTGTAATATTAGGGATGTACGCTTTATTAAGCTGGTGTTGGCGTGGATGGGATACCCCTAGTAGTTAATAATACTATCAATTGTATTAGAGTTGATCTTTCTGCTACACTTTATATAGGGTAGAGTTGATTTAATGAGCATGTTTATAGAGGAAGACTTTAGGTCAAGCTCATTTAGGAAAATGTTATTAGTTACTTCTTTACGCTCCTAAAACTAGGTATAACAGATAGTAGGCGTTTGTAAACGTATGTTCTCTATAGTTTTCTCACCACATTAGGGGTTGCTCCAGCTTAAATAATAACCCAATAAAGCGTAAACGCAGGGGCCATGATTCGTGTATCAGGACCTGATACTAGGGGTAATTAGTACAGTATAATCGTCTGCGAATGATACCTAGGGTGGATAAGCTATGAAAGTTAAAGTACGCGTTCACTCGCGTGTGTAACGCGCCGATTATCAATCGAAATGGGACAAATCAGTCGCTATGGATTAAATGAAAATAAACCGGAGATAGTCAAGCACCTGAGATGAAGACAGGGGTAGGCGACAATTAGGAATAGAAGAGTAGGGTTTTCTTATCACCGCTGCATGCAGGAGGATGACTACGTAGATACACAGTGTGGGTGGACCAATGAACAACTGACAAGTGTTTCAACATAATTGAGGGGAACTCACACTGAGTGAGTGACTCCGAACTGAAAAGTTGCCTAATTTTCCTTCAATGAAGATATAATCTGTCTGTAAATTGTGCCCTTTTTTGACTATCTTCCCTAATATAATTATCATCCCAAGAATGGAGCGCGTATCAAAGAAGGCGTAAGTATCCTACCTAGAAATAGCAGAATAACCACCATAATGCTAACCAGCATCGCTAGCGTCGCGACCTCAAAACCGTTTAGATTTCTGATCGGCCCTCATCAAACAGAATACACTATTCACTCAGCTCTTGTCGCACACCAGTCACCAGCTCTCGCTGCCATGGTGAATGGAAAATCCCAAGAGTCGAGAGAATGTTCTGTAAAATGGGACGACGTAGACGAGATAGTCTTCAACAGTTTCTGGCAGTTTGTCTATACAGGAGACTACGACACTCCAGAACCACTTCGGCCCACTCAGCGGACTTCCGGCCGAGGGGACCATAAATCAGGTACTGCTGATGAACCCCCAGAACCAGAACCAGAACCAGAACCAGAACCAGCAGCAAGACCAGCAGTAGGAGAAGCAGAATTATTAGCAGCAATACCAGTATTTGCAGAATCAGTTTTCTCAGATTTACCACAAGTATCAGCAGCAGAATCAGAAGCACAAGCACAAGCACAAGCACAGGCTGAAGAAGAGTCAACGTATGGGACCGAATCAACCGAAATGAGTCCGACTTTCTATACGTATTTTTGGAGGTCGCCGGCGGGTTCGCGACCTTCATCAGCACTAGAGCAGGAGAATCAGGGAAGTGTTCAAAAGTCGTTCCTGTGGGGCAGTTTTCTCCGTTCTTGGGAATCCCCGCATGAGGTCATTGATATCGACAAATCACTAAAAGACCAGACAAACCGCTTCGTGCACCACGCTAAAGTCTTTACGCTGGCTGACCGCTATGGAGTCAAAAGACTCGCAGAAATCTCTCGCGGAAAGCTTTATCATGACTTAATAGACTTGGAAAGAAAGGGCATGGATTCTAAAAATGTGGTAGAGCTTGTGCGATATGCTTTCGAAGAGCTAGTGCCGGATCAACTAAGAGATTTGGTTGTAGACTTCAGTGCTTGTGTGGTTGAGAGAATTTGGGGTGATAAGAAATTTCAGAAGCTCCTGGAAAAGCATGGCATCTTATCAAAAGCGCTGATAAAACAGCTATTACTTAGACTAGCAGAGCCTCCTTCACGGCTCTACTCAGCGCTGACTTCAATTCAAGTAAGTCAAGTTTGGGGGTCCAACTTGATTACTTGAAATAAAATCGTCCATGGACTTACTTAACTTGAATTGAATTGATATACTTGAAATGAAGGTGCTGACCTGAAGCTCCAATAAAGCTATTAAGCCTCCCCTCCCTCCCAACCCACCAAGTCCCCACCAAAGCTAACCACCTCACCCATAGTGATCGCTTAATAGCATAGCCAGTTTCATAGACACTGCATCTCCTCTATTATCTCGGGGCTTATGCTGTGCCTTTGCGAGCTTACCGTTAACTTGGTGACACTGAACGTCCGCTCAGGGTCAACAGACATGGCAGGAATTGCCAGGATGTCGAGGGCAAACTTGCTCAGACGTGGGTATTCTTCTTGATGATCCTTCCACCACAGGACGGGGTTCAAGTTCTCTCGCCGCACTAGCCCTTGCCTCATGTAAACGCCAAGCTCGTCTTCTTCCTCCATCATGCACCGATCGCAGCTCTGCATCCACTGGTCAAATTGACTGGGCTCGTCTTGTCGCACCGCTTTTCCTGTCACCGTCCTCGATGTCTCGGGCTGCTCCTCACGTGGATAGTGCTGTTCAAAGAATTCCCGGACACTGTTTTTAGCGTCTCGTAGCCACACTAGTTGCTCGTCGCTGGTCCAGTTCGCCTCAAGCCAAGACACGTTCCAGCGTGGGTGAAGAATAACGGCAGCCGGATAAAGTGGCGATTGGCCTAGTAGGCTGTAATACTCATCGAGCTTTGACCAACAGTTCTTAATAGAGATCTGGACGCATCGTCGGTGATCATCATCAAGATTCTCATCTTGCAAAACTACATCAGTGTATTCCTCTCGAGCGTGCTGTGGCAAGTGTTTCTCTCGTCCGCGGCCCTGCTCAATTCGTTGAGTGCTAGATCCTGAGAAACCGTTAGTCAAAGAAGCCTGAAGAGAACGAAGACGAATTAGGGGAGTCGTACTTTTGGTTGCCGAGACCCTGAAATTTCTCAGCTCACTGATGCCACTATCAGGTGACGAGAATATCAGGTTTTGTTCCTCGAAGAAATTGAGCAAGTACTCCATTCCAATCATTACTTCCCACAAGGCGCCGTGGCGTCCTTCTTTGGCCCAACCCTGGCACCTCATGGTGATCTCATGGAGCGGTTTGAGTAGACTCTGTATCTCCGCCAACAGAAGCCAGTCCTGTGGTGAAAGCTGATCTTGGACAGGCACCCGCTGTCGGGGCTCTGACGTCTTCGTTTCGAGATATGCAATGAAATGGTCAATGTGCTCTCGCTTTCGAATGGCACGCTGGATCATCAGAAAGGTTGAATTCCATCTGGTTTCATTATTTTGCATCAGCTCGAGGTCGATGGCAGCTCGCTCCTCTTCAAAGAGTTGATAGCCGTCTTCGTCGTTCTGGTCACAAGCCAGGGATTTCATCAGCTCTCTCCGTTGCGGGGAAGCCCTGACGAACCGGACGATGTTATGCAGCTTGCCCACCGCTCCCCGTTTCCGCCAGAGCCGAAGCTCACGCTCTTCAACTTGGAAAGCCGCCTCGGTGAAGGCTTCTCGCTCAAACGAGTCAGGATCTTCTCCCCAGAGAAAGGCTCGAGCTGCAAGGTTAAGAATGTGCCCAAAGCATCTTGTTCGATGGTTTCTAATATCTTCTTCCGCCATTGCAGGATAAAGTTGACGATAGAGGCTCGCCAAGCTTGTATCATTGGACGAGGCGTTATCGCAGACACCCGCGCCAGTCCTATCTCGTATCCCATACTCGCCCAAGATATCATATATTGTCGCTGCTTGATTGTCTCCGGATTGAGATCCCCATACACGGCGCAGAGCAAGGAGTCGCGACTGGACTTGATAGGAGGCGTCGAGATAGTGGGCGTGGAGGCCAAGGAAAGCATACCGGTTTGGAGAAGTCCATAGGTCAAAGCTAAAGCTAATCCTTGTGACCGCCTTCTGCAATTGACTTGATATTACTCCCTTCTTTACCTCGAATAATTTCCGCATAGTATCACGCACTGACTGCCGACTCCACGGTACCTCTTTTGCTAATAATGCATCGTGTAAATCGAGCATTCGGCGCAAGTACGGATTCGATGGCGCCGTGAATGGAAGATTGGCAGTAACGATCCAGCCGACCGTCAACTCCTTCGCTTTATTGACATTCGATCTTGCAGTAGGAGACTCCAAGCAACGCCGCTTCGAGGGTGGGTGAATGTCAGCGCGAGATGAATACGAATCTGCATCCACATTGTCATCCGCCTCGGTGATCATATGAGACCTACATCTCGTAAGACAATGGAGAAGTAATAAAGATCAGGCTCGTATAGATATCATTTACCTTCGGAGGTGCTCAATTGGCGATGTTGTATTTGTGGCGACGAATAATGAGCTCTTGCCTCGTTCATCACATTTCGAGCATACCC